ATCAACAAGGGGGTCGGGGAGTCCAGTGAGAAGCTTGTTTCCAGCAAGATTGACGAGGGAGTCAGCAGGGATTCTCAGCGGGTGACCGTCGACATCGACAACAAGTCTGGTGAGGGTCATGATTCGAAGCCTGTTTCTTGGTTCAATACAATACATAGTCGAGGTGTACTGTAGCAGCTTGGGGTGGCAACTACATGTGTACCAACAACAACCAAAAGCCAAGGCTTCCAAGAAGAAGAAGAACAGTGTCCCCATTGTCAATGACAAGAAGGCTGCAAAGGCTTCCGATAAGCAGGCTGTGGTTTCCGACGGCAAACGTAGGCATCCTGATGAGAGCCTCAGCAAGAAGCCTGCTTCCTCCGAGCAGGCCAGGTGAGCAAGTAACAGATTTCTCAGATATTGGTGATGCATGATTATGTATGCGGTGCTGCTTAATGAACCCTGAGGTGGTGCCTGACTTCCCTGTGGATGAAGCAGCCGCAATCTCGCCGGCTGAGCAGACAAAATTGTCAGGTGCTCAGCCGAACCGACGGGGCAAGGAAAAGAAGAAAATCCTCGAGGAAGAGGTGCCTGATGAAGACGATGATCGTGAGGACGACGATCAGGATGACGATGATCATCACGATGATGATGCTGACAGCTCTGGTGGTACTAAGACCAGAGCTGCACGAGGTCGCGGCGGCCGAGGTCGAGGCCGTGGCTCTCGTGGTGGTCGTGTGTGCAGTGTTGCAGGTGGCCGGGGTCGTGGGCGAGGGCGAGGGCGAGGCAAAAATGTGGACAAGGAGGTTGCAAGCCCACGCTCGGCGTCGGCCAAGCGATGCCGGGAGGATGAAACGGCAGCCAAAGCAGCCCCCAAGGCTAAGGCTAAGGCAACACCCAAGGCAGCGCCCAAAGCAGGGCCCAAAGCAGGGCCCAAAGCAGCGCCCAAAGCAGCGCCCAAAGCAACACCCAAAGCAACACCCAAAGCAGCACCCAAAGCAGCACCCAAAGCAAAAAGTCAGAGGACACCGGAGGAGCAGGAGCGAAGAGCCCGGTTGAGTCGAAAGAGTGTGGCCTACCACAAGGCAAAGGTCGAGGCAACAAAAGCGGGCAAGTCCAAGGAGGATGCTGTTGCACTGGCCAAGAAGGTATCATGACTTTGTTTGTTATTGCTTGCCTGTAGATAGGGGTCAG